AGAACCACCGCAGGGAAATTTTACGTAGTCCTGTGAAGTTTTGTTGAAATCGGTTGAAAAATGTAGGAAATCCGATCCAATATATAAACGTACAGACACACACACACTCTGCGTTTTCTAATAAGTAAGATGACGTTTTGCTTAAGGTTGTGTGGAAAGTCTTATGTAATTATTTTACCTTTCAGTTTCATATGTTGACCATTTTTGTTGTTGATGCAGTTAAAGGTGAAGATGTGATGAGATTTTTGTTATGTGGTAAAGCTCATTGTTTGTGATTATGTAGCCCCAGTCAATAAGGCCTGATGAATGAGTCTCTTCATTAAGACCTCATAGATCCATTCGGCCGAATCTACTATTATTAAATGATCCGAAAAATTAGTTGTATATAGCTAATAGTTTAGACTAAGGTTTCTCAACCGGTACGCCCGAGCGCACTAATCTACCCTGAAAGGTAGCCAGCTACGCTCCAAGTTAGCTGAAGAGTAATTTATTATTTTATATTTAAAAATTCTTTATTTAAAAAAAAAAATTAGAGACACTAAGCACATGGTCTCCATGTCTAAGTCAAATCTTTTACATTTGATATTTTAAACAGGATTACTAAATCTTCAAGAAATCCATAATCCTTTCCCTTTTAGTCATTTTTGGCCTCTCTAAGAACAAATAGATTCTTCATAAATCCCTTTTAAATGAAAACTGTGCAGCTAATCCTTGGGAATTAATATGTCCCGGAAAGCGATATATTTGTTTGAAGTAGCAAAGTTGGTTTTGGACTACCGTAACCGAATAGGACAATCTAGCAGGTAACCGTAATGAACTGGGCCTTGTCGTAGTGGTAGACAATAGGCGTCATCCCTGTACCTCCACATCAGTCTGTATTTATGGCTGACACCAGCCAATCATATTACTGTGAGGGGAGAACCAGTTGTATGCATATTCGTTACATCAGGAATTCTAAACCCAAATTTCATATTTTCAAAATTTCATGTCTAATTTATCCTTATTAAAATTTAAAAGGCGCCGAGTTATTCTATAAGTGCGCCCCGAATTAAAAAAAAAATTAACAAACACTGGTCTACACATTTCTGAGGGAGTTAGACACCATGTATGAGAAGCATGTCAGAAATGAGTTTTCTGATAAATATTTTAATGCACTTCGGAAAGACATGAATCATTTTCCTTCTCTCCCCTGCCCTGTATGGGTTAAATAGTACAGTAGATTGGAACATGGTTGTGATGTAATGAATATGCATACACCTGGGTTCCCCCTCACAGTAATATGATTGGCTGGTGTCAGCCATAAATGCAGACTGTTATGCATATGTACATAGCCTACGCCTATAGTCTTCGCCTATGGCCTACGCCTATTGCCTACCAGTACGACGAGGACCAGTCCATTATGGTTACCATAATCAATCTATCCTGTGCATAGAGGTTTCTGAAGGAGAGGCATCTTTAAGATTTAAATGATTCATTTTACCTGAAACCGGTTTTAATTACTGATCTGAGAAAACGGTTGTGCGTAAATGATGACTGGGCTACTTCTGAACGTGGTAGAGGCATGGCACATGGAACTAGAACAATCTAACCCGGTGGACGAAGTAAAGGGTTCGTATCGAAATTTCAGTCACCTGAAGAAGGCAAGGGCAGACGTCGTGAATATGGCAACACGGATGAGGATAACAGCCCGAACATTGTAAATTTTAAAATATATATACAAACATATAAACAGCTTTTTTTCCGTTTTACACACGATGCTTCTCTTTAAATTAGATCGGATTAAAAAAATAAAAAAATAAGCAATATGTTATTTTTTTTTTTTTACCGGTTATTTATATACAGTGTAACCCGGATGTAAGAGACCCGGATATAAGAGAAACCCGGATATAAGAGAGATTTCATCTGGTCCCAAATTAGAGCCTGTGTTAATGTATACATACAGACCAAAGCCGGATATAAGAGAAACCCGGATATGAGATGCTTCTTCTCCGGTCCCGACAACTCTCTTATATCCGGGTTATACTGTATTAATATTCTTTTACCTATGTATGGCGTGCCATAGACATCTATACGAGTGTCTGGATCATACGAGGCTGTTGAAGAATTTAACACGAGTTTTCGGGTTTATATTTTAGTTTTTACTATCTTGCGCGGCTGGTTAAGAGTTAAACCCTAACGTAACCTATCCCGTGTTCAATTTCATTTTAGTTTCAGCAAAAAAAAAAAAAAAATGGCTGTGGTGAGTGGGGAGTGGGGCGAGCTTAGGCTCCTACCGAGAGATCCAGGATTTGTGATTGTTTAAAGTCCTTTTTTTTTCCTGAAACTTTAATAGTTGCGTATGTATTTTTTCCCCTTTGTTCCCCCCACTTTGTTTTTTTCCATGAGGTCAGTAACTGACACAATATGATTTTCAAAAAAGGAAGTTGTTTTCCGGTAACACGTTTCTGCGAATGTCGTACGATGCGAAAATGTTAAAAATTCGGCAAAATCATTTTTATCCATTATTCGTTTTACACGCATTTTCTAATTTCGGAGTGTCTGCATTGTCTACATCCTTTACCAAATATATATATATATATATATATATATATATATATATATGTGTGTGTGTGTGTGTGTGTGTGTGTGTGTGTGTGTGTGTGTGTTTGTGTGTGTGTTTGTAGATGTGTTGTTTTGTATGACTTTTTAAGGTAATCAAAGTAGATGTTTCGTTGAGAGTGACCAAAAGACAAAAGCCTCAAACATTTCTTTTAATAAGATCAAGTGGCCAATAATGCAAGAAAGACGTCCTGGTTGCGTATGGACATTCTCGGTCAAGTAGTCCGAGAATAAGCTGTTTCCCGACATTCAAATCATCTCCTGACCTTGCCACGCCACACCTCCGAAACTAACAAACCCGGGCACGTTGACAGCACGTTTATAGGACGATCCTTCGTCTGGACACGCTATCAACTCGGCCACTGACTACGCTTCAGTTTGACGACAAGTTTTAAGATATATATATATACACACATGTGAACAGCTTTTTTCCCTTTTACACACGACACTTGTTTTTAAAAGTACATGGGATAAAAGAAACGAGTACAATTAGGAATATGTCCTTTTTTGCCGATTATCTATATATTATAAAGCTTGTACCTATGTATAGTGTGTGTCGGGCCTTATATTACAGATACAGTGTAACCCGGATGTAAGAGAGTTGTCGGGACCAGAGAAGAATCTCTTATATCCGGGTTTCTCTTATATCCGGGTTTGGTCTATTTTATATACATTAACACAGGCTCTAATTTGGGACCAGAGAAAATCTCTCTTATATCCGGGTTTCTCTTATATCCGGGTCTCTTATATCCGGGTTACACTGTACTGAGAGAGATGCAACACAAAAAGAGAGTACATTATTTACATTATTCGGACGATTGTCCTCATCTTTGTCGCCATATTTATCACGACGTTTCGGCCTTTCAGTATCTGTCTATATTTCTGTGTCAGTCTTTAAATATATTCTCTACTAACAGTAGAGCCCGGCGTTGCCCGCGGATGTAACAGTAAGAGATAGATCAAGTATCGACCATCATAAAGACTGAAAAATAAAATTGACAAAGATTATTGTTTAAGGTTGACGGACACGCATGTCTTAATTTGTTTTGTTTTTTTACGAATTGGTCAAACCCAAACTGAAACAAAAACATTGTTTTCAATCGTTATGAGTCTACCGATTGAATAGAATCTTATTATAAGCAATTGTCTTGTAAATGGAATTTTTAAAGCATTCTGAATGTAAAAATAAAGAAAAAAGTGTGCAAGACAATAAGAAACACTACCTGCCAAAAAAAGTGAAGTTTTGTTGAAATCGGTTGAAAAATGTAGGAAACCCGATCCCAGATATAAATGAACACACACACACACACACACACACACACACACACACACACACACACAAACAACCTGGGTTTTATAATAAGTATAACTCGATATGAGTTGTCCCCTTTTCATTCTCGACAGCGATGCCTCTTAATCGTGTTTTCACATTGATTTTGTGCAAAAACAATTGTGTTTTTCCAATTTTTGGCGCTGTTAGAACCACCGCAAGGTAATTTTACGTAGTCCTGTGAAGTTTTGTTGAAATCGGTTGAAAAATGTAGGAAATCCGATCCAATATATAAACGAACACACACACACACACACACACAACCTGGGTTTTATAAGTATGATTTATACATTAATCCATAGAATTGCAAGGGGATCAGTTTATTCCTTAATAACAATAGCAAACAGATCCCCAAATTTATGTCCACCAAAATCTTATATGAATGCAAGTTGACCTATGCCGTCAAAAGTAATGCTCTTACTATGCTTTCACGTGTGAGTTTTTAAAATAAATTTTCATAATTACTATTCTTTTATTTTACCCTTCCCCAGTCGTTTATTTTACTTCCTTGCTTCGTAAGCATCTTCTCATAATGGGGGTGGGGGGTACTACCACCTAACGTCGGTAGTGCAAGGAAGATAAACATTTTATTCACAGATGCTAACAACAAAAAGCCCATAAAACTTTTTCCCCAACTCCCATTGCAATTATCATTGTCCGGAACGCTCATCATATAAGCATTAACTTGTTTCTGAGTTACTTTGAAAATTAATATGAGCCTTGTTCAAAGGTCGAATCACTCTTTCTAAACGATGACTAATAAATATGGTGGATGATTGATAATTTCCCAGCCAATATTGCGACAATTTTTTGCCCGGTCACCAAAGAAAAAATACTAGAGACATATTCTGTTTACACTATTTGTAATAGTTCGGGATGTTATCCTCATCTTTATTCTGATATTCACGACGTTTCGGCAGTTGTACGCTCAGGCCTGCTTCAGGTGATATGTTTGAATTTCGATTCAAAACCTTTATTTAGTCCACGGTGGGGTAGATTGTTCTAGTTCCACGTAACATGCCTTTTTCTGGATATCTCATTTTCAGTTAATTCCCTTTAATAACTCAATTCTTCAAGTTTTTGTTCACCTCTGCTGTGGCCAGGTATTGAACTCACAACTCTTTGGGTCAAGTCATTTTTGGCTTATTTCAACCAATGCTTTTATCTATTTTAATGACTACAACAATCTGCTCCCGTGGACTAAATAAAAGGTTTGATTCGAAAATCCAACGCACATCTCCTGAAGAAAGACGGAGCGTACAACGGCCGAAACGTCGCGAATATGAAAATAAAGATGAGGACAACAGTTCGAACAATGTAAATAGTTACAATACCTCATCTCAGAAATATAGACAGGTATAGATTCTGATAGAATATTGTACATTTTCTCTTAACTGATTCTGGACGACTTTTGTAAATTTCATCTTCATTTAGTCTCATTGGGAACAATACTAGTTCGAATCAATCATCTACTTCTTCCAAACGTGCTCATAGTAGAAGACACCTTTTCAATTACTCTATGTACAAAACTTAACTTTTGAAAACAAATTAATTTCCTACAATTCGATCACGATCATGATTCACGAGGCCCGTGATTCATAATGATAGTAGGGGCAACACACGTCGTAGCAGCAATGGGTGTATCATGAGAAAATAAAATGATCAACCCTATAACTCTTCTGGCTTTATTTTATTAATTTAGAATCTTCCTTCAGCCAAATTGTGTATTTCTTCTTCTTCTTCTTCTTCTTCTTCTTCTTCTTCTTCTTCTTCTTCTTCTTCTTCTAATACTACTACTTCTTTTTCTTCCTCTACTACTACTACTCCTCCTTCTTTTCTTCTTTTACTACTACAACTACAACTCCTCCTTATACTACTACTTCTTTTTCATCATTCTCTACTACTACTACTACTACTCCTTCGTCTTCTATTACTACTACTATTCCTTCTTCTTCTTCTTCTTCTTCTTCTACTCCTTCTTCTTCTTCTATTGATACTACTACTCCTTGTTCTTCCTCCTCTTTTACTCCTTCTTCTTCTTCTATTGATACTACTACTCCTTCTTCTTCTTCCTCTACTATTACTACTCCGTCTTCTTCTTCTACTACTACTACTCCTTCTTCTTCTTCTTCTACTACTAGTACTAAAACTACAACTCCTTCTTCTTCCTCTACTACTACTACTCCTTCTTCTTCTTCTTCCTCTACTACTACTACTCCTTCTTTTATTCTTTTACTACTACAACTACTACTCCTTCTTCTACTACTACTTCATTTTCTTCTTTCTCTACTACTACTACTAATAATCCTTTTCCCTCTACTACTACTACTACTACTTCAACTACTACTACTAATAAACATTCTTCTTCCTCTTCTGTTCCTCCTTCTTCTTCTTCGTCTTCTATTAATATCACTACTCCTTCTTCTTCTTTCTCTACTATTACTCCTCCTTCTTCTTCTAATTCTACTACTACAACTACTACAACTACAACTCCTTCTTCCACTACTACTACTACTCCTTCTTCTATTACTATTCCTTCTTCTTCCTCTACTACTACTACTCCTTTTTTCTTCTTCTACTACTACTACTACTATTACTCCTTCTTCTTCTTCTTTTACTACTACGAGTAGTAGTAGTAGTATTTCTTCTTTGCTCAGTGTCCCTTCAGGACGTGGGCGTTCATAGCTCTCCACAACTTCTTATCCTTTCCTACTCTTAGTAAGTTTTGTCTTTTGTCTCTCTCCCTCCCACGCCTTTAAGCAAGTTACGTACTTTTTCCCATTGTTCCACTGCTTTTCAATGTTTCCATTTAAATGTTTCAAATTTTCTAAGCCTTCTTTCCTCGTTATTCATCTTGGAAACTGTCTCTTTTCTGGCATATATATCTTATAAGCTTACTTTTTGTTTTTAATTTTCCTTAAAACTTTCTCGTTGTTCACACGTTCAGTCCATTACATTCTCAGCATTCTTCTGTAGAACCACATTTCTCTATTTTTTTTTTGCAGTAATGTTCACCCTGTACAAGGCCCGAGGGCCACTCGAGATAGATGGTTACGTTAACGGACAGATATATAGATAGAAGGGGAAGACAGCGCTCATCTCCAAACCTGAACAAATCAAGATTGTAGTGATCAGGGAAACACCCTCTTGGGCATTTGTTTCACAGGGCAGTGGTTCGCGGGAAGAAGCTGTTCGATTGGAACTTATTTCTCGCCGATGGAATACGGAGAGAATGAGGTTGGTTCGCTACAATGTAAGTGGTATGGTGGGTCGTAGCCGTGAAGGTTAGACTTGGAGGAACTAAGGGCTGCAGTTCGTCCGAGCACTGTCTATTGAAGTAGCAATAGAACAGCGAGAGGGTCACCACATCCCGCCTGTGAGCAAGAGGTTGCAAGGTGGAAAATAATTCTTCTCCCACAAGGTCTCGGAAGCGCTTTTGAACTCTAAGCAAAGTATGAAGGAAGAATAATTTCGCTAGAAACAGTACTATACTCCTACGAAATATCAGTGCTTCTTCCTAGCAGAGAGTGCTGGATAATTTTCCTTAAAACTTTCTCGTTGTTCACGTGTTCAGTCCATTACATTCTCAGCATTCTTCTATAGAACCACATTTCTGTATTTTTTTTTACAGTAATGTTCACCCTGTACAAGGCCCGAGGGCCACTCGAGGTAGATGGTTAAAGTGAGGCCTAAACAGCTCCCTCCCAAATATGACAAAAAATACTCCATTTGGACCGATCTGGCTCGGTTAGCGGATAGCATGAGTCAAGTACTTACTCGAGCCGTACAGGAAGTCGATCGTTTGACTTTCATCTATAGCGATGGATTATATATAAGAGTGCAACTTGAGGTCCGGGGTGAGGTTGAGGCCCAATATTGTATCTAAGCACGCTAACTCCTTGAGGGCACATCCGTTCACCATGACTGATACCTCAAGTTTCTCTTCATCTGTGAGGAAATTATCCAGCACTCTCTGCTATGAAGAAGCACTGATATTTCGTTGGAGTATAGTACTGTTTCTAGCGAAATTATTCTTCCTTCATACTTTGCTTAGGACTTCGAATTTTCTGTCGATTCATGAACATCAATGTTCAATAGTGAACATTGGACCGTCGTCGTCCCCTCTGGCTTTCTATACGTGTTCATAAGTCATCGATTCATCCCACCATCTCATATCGCTTATATAGCGAGACTGAAGCTGAGCTGTCAGATCCGTACCAATAACATTGCAGATTCTTCCTTGTATTCTATCCATAATCCCTAAATACATGGCAGAAGCACCAGACCAGACGTGACAGCAATATCCAATACATGAACTAATGGTAGACTTATAAATGTGTAAGATAGATTCTGGTAAAAAAAAGAAATGTCTAGAACCCCACAGTGAACCAAATTTTCTAGCAGCATATCTAGCAATTGATTCAATATAAGCTTTCGACTTCATGTCAGCGAAAAACATTAACCCAAGAATTTGCAAAGAGCCACTTTATTGGGGGCTAGCATCAGCCATACTGATTGATAACAAAAAGTTTCTCTCAAGCGGTTAAAAGAGAGCAGTTTTGTTTTGAAAGCGTTAAAATAACAAGCCATTTCTTGCCCCAGTAACAACAGATCGTGGATCATTTTTTTAACTGCCAATTTGACTTTATCGAACGGATCAGGCGTACTATTAAATAGTTGTAAATATTTGTATCATCAGCATAGACACAGAGAACTATTAACATCAGGGTGGACGATGATCAAATTTAGAAACAACGTACGTCTAATAATAGAGCCCTGGTGGGCATTTGCATTAATTCAAAAGATCTAGAAGAGTTGCCATTCAAAACAACTTTCATTGTCCTATGTCGGATAATTATGTCCTTACGAAATGCTGTTTATCTTTTTGTTACAGCTGTCATTAGAAATTGTCATATGAGATTAATTATGCTTTATTTAAATAAAATAGAATTTATTAACACATTCACTTCTATCTTGGATATTCGAATACTTAGATAATGACATCTATGTCTTCCTTGGCGCTCTCATTGAGCGTGTATGAATAGATGGCTAAACGTTGGGAGATTTGGTGAAGAAAGAAACATTTCTAAGTGTTACAAAGTATAGAAGGTTGTGAAGGCCATGATCAATGTCGTCCTAAAGTAACACAACACATGAAGAAGAACAAAACAAGAATTGAATCATGTGAGACAATGGAAAGCAAAAGAGATTTTTTTTTTAAATTTCGGTTACTCTTCTTCTTCTGTGATGAGATTGTCCCGTATACACTACGATGTAGGAGAACTTCCGCGACCCAAGCTGGGTAAGGTTATTATCTTTCAGTTGCATCTTTGTCTTCAGTCCGAGTGCAAGACAGAAACGCAGCTGGGAAAAATACTGAGATGTGCCCGGTCCCGGAGAAACAGCTGCTCGTGGCTGTTCCCTCCTCATTACACTAGAGGAGGTCGGGTCGGTAGTCATACCGATGCCAGCGCAGGGAGCTGAGCAATTTTTGGTCCTGGCATTGATGTGTGCGCTTGGGTGTCCCACATTAAACCCGACCTTGTATCACATCATGTCTGAACGGGAAAACCGGGGTAAATACTG